TAGTGACCATTTCATGGAGTATTTTCTTCTGTGCCTTCACTTTCAGTCTGTGTCGTTAATCTGAAGGTGAGTCTCTTGTGGACAGTGTGTGGTTGGATTTTGGTTTTAGTTCAATTTTAATCCATTCAGCCACTTGGTCTTTTTTTTTTTTTTTTTGCAGTCAGTACTGGGGTTTGAATTGGAGACCTCATGCTTGCTAAGAAGGTGTTCTGCCACTTGAATCGCATCTCAGCTCTTTCAGTTATCTTTCAAGTTGGCTCTCACATTTTTGCCCAGGGCTGGCCTACCTATGCCTCTCACATAGCTGAGATTATAGGCACATGCCACCATGCCTGGCTTATTGAGTGAGATGAAGCTCACTCTTTTTGCCTGGGCTGGCCTGGAACTGCAATTGTCCAGATCTCTTCCTCTCAAGTAGCTGGGATTATAGTGTGAGCCACCATGCCTGGTCCCTCTGTCTTTTGCTTGTGGAGTTTAGTCCATTTACAGTTAAATTAATTATCAATGGGGAAGGACATTGTATTGTCATTTTGTTAGTTATTTTCTGTATACATAGTAGTTCGTGTTTCCCTTTTCTTCTTTGTCTTTATTTGTAATTCACTGATTTTTTTTCTCTTATTTGGAGACATAGTCTTGCTACATACTCCAGGGTGGAACTCACTGCGTAGCCCAGACCGGCCTGGAACTCAGTTCTCCAGACTCTGCACACATAATTGACTGTTTTTGCGATGATATGCTTTGATTCTTTTCTCGTATTCGTTTATGTAACATCGCTAGGCATTTTCTTTGCGAGGCCTACATAAAACCTCTTAAGAGGTAGTATCCTCTTACAGGATAGTGTGGTTGGAGCAGATGACAACTCTGATCACTACAAAAGCTCTGTTTTTGTTATTGATGTTTACTTCTTTTTATATTGTGTAGACACTAACGTTTTTTGTAGTTATCTTTGTGTACCATTCTGAAAAAGGCAAAAAAAACAGGGACAGAGAATGTGTACACATGACCAGTGACACCCAAGGGGGAATGGTGGCGTTTGACTACAATCAAAGTTCTTGTGGAAATGTTTTGAAGTGATAGAACTGTTCTGTGTCCTGATTGTGGTAGTGGCCATACAAATCTACCTATATGTTAAAATTTATAGAAGTGGACACCAAGAGATGACTTTTCCTGTGCGTACCATATGTGTTAGTAAAGAGTCTCCAGAGGAACAAAGCTAGTAGGATCCGTATCTTTCAATATGGACAGAGAGGGAGAGGGAGAGGAAGAGAGGCTGAGGGAGAAAGTGAGATTTTAAGGACATTCAGGTCAGAGTCGATATTATAGTCATGAGTCAGAATTGTACAGGGTCGAAGACTAGAACCCTGAAAGGGTTGAGAATTCCTTCTTTTTCCAGAAACCTCTGTCTTTGCTCTTATGGTTTTCAAATGATTGGATGAAGCCCACCCACACTGTACAAGGCAATCTGCTTGACTCAGAGTCTTCTGATTTCATTGTTAATCACATCCAAAAAATACTTTCACAGCAGTCTGGGGTTTGACTAAAACAACTAAGTACCATAATCTAGTCAAGTTGATAAGGAAAATTAACCATCACATTACATGTAAAATTTTTTCACTTAATAAAAAAGATTAAAAACTGCTTTAGCAAAACAAGCAAAGGACATGACAAAGGTAGATAATTTTCCAGGATTAATTTTCATAATAAAATGTAAAAAATGCACTATCTTGTTAGTAATTTAAGAAATACAATAGTAACATCATATTATTTAAGCAAACAGCATCTGTGTATATATATATATATATATATATATATATATATAATTGTGTGGATAATTATAATCTATTTGTGAAACTTCTCTCAGGGCCTCAGGCCTGCTAGGCAGGTGCTCTACCAACCACTTGAGCCACGCCCCTCCCTCCCACATTTCTTCTTCTGAATAAATTTTGAATCAGTTCAAGAAGATCCCAAATAACTCTCATAGAGATTGTCATTGATGTATCATTAATTCTTGATTTGTTCCCAGAGGTGAGGCCTTTTTACATTTTTTAGTTTTATGTGAGTCATCACTTTTCCAGTTATCTACTTTTACACATTTATTTCAGTTAATGTACCTTACATATATTTCTGAATATTATGTTAAAATGACCGTTTTAATTTCTATGAAGATTTTATAATCGTTTAGCCTTGTTCCTGAATTATCTCCTGAATTCTATTATATTTTAATTGACTTACTTGGCTCTCTGTTCTTAAAAAACAAATTTCAGTTTATATTCTTAATTCCCTGTTCAACAAAATATCAATTGCCAAGTCATTAAAAGTACATATGCAACCTGTTAGTGCTGAAAATCTGATATATACTTAAAAGTCACACTGACAGCATTTAAAATACTGCATCTCTCGGTAGCAAACATTTTATTTCTCTAGTTTTCGTACTTCCTCCCACCTCCAGCCCTTTTATCCTTTAACATGCATCCACGTTTTAAAAAACTTGCATCTGAACACAATACACCGGTAACACTCCTTGGTAAACAAGGAAATCCCAGAACAGTCCAGATCTACAGCTTTGCTCCCGAAGTGTGGCGCAGGCTAAATGACAGAGGAAAAAACCAATCAGTGGCCCCTGCTGGTGCATCAGTATTGCCCCTGAGAACCCACGGCTGTTGACGATCTGCTGATGCAATGCTAAAGAAAGTTTTAACGGATTTTGCTGATAAATTTCAGAGAGTAAGTCTTTGATCATCTTTCCATTTATTCTTGCTGAAAACACGAACGCCTTTTCATCTGAGAGCTGAGCACAGATGTCAGCTTCCTTTTCCTCTCCTCTCTTCCTCGTGTTTTTTGGCAGATGTACTTTTAGGACTTTGTCTTCTGATGTGATCTGGGAGACCTCGCTGTGTTTTCTAAATCTTTATTTACTGTGGAGTTTATCTTCTTTCCTTACTCTCTGTTCATTTCCTCTTGGGCTCAGGCTTGTTTTCTGTAGAAGGGATGTTTTGCACTTCAAAGTTTTCTGCTAATAAGTACGCAACCACAAGGACTTGATTTACTCGGGCTTGACTGGTGCTCCAGGTTCACCCGAGCATCTGCAGCGGCGGCAAAGGCTCCTCCCCTTACGCCATCAGCCCCGCCCCCTTCCCAGAGGCCCCACACCAGGCTCTGTCCGGGCGTGCTCGCGTACGGTCTCTGCTTGGCCAGGGGGCGTGGCCTACCTTCCTAGCTCAGCAGGCCCGCCCCCGCTCCGGAAGGCCCGCCCCCAGGCCGTGTCTTGGTTGGTGTGGCGGTGTGTGGCGTCGGGCTGAGGGAAACCCTGAGCGACATCCTCCGGACCGTTGCTCTGGCCCTGCATCCTGCCCGTCCTTGCCAGGTCTTCGAGCTTGACTCGATTTCCTTGGCTCTTAGTGAACGGCTTTAAAGTGCTCTGAGATTCTGTTCACAGACAATAAATGACCATGAGAAACCGGATGCTTCACCTTCAGCTGAGGGTTTTGAGCGTCCTTTGCGGTTTCCGGTGACTAACAGTCGCCCTCCAGTTACCCCTAGTAAATACAAGGCGATGAGGTTACTAACTACAGTTATTTCAGCTAAGACACTCAAAGGAATTGTTGCTCATCTGGGCAAAGAGAGGGTGATTTTTTAAAAAAATACTGTTTCTGTTAAAAAGTTAATGCTGTTTGTCACAGACAGAGACGGTTTGGAAGCCCGCTTTCCCAGGGCTCTGCGTTATAAATTGGGGACATTCAAGGTGGAAGTCACTTCAACATGATTAGGGGGTTGAACCCCTATCTCGGTAGCTCAGCTGAACCACAGAGAAAAATTCCTTTCCCTAAATTTTAGGAACTAAAGTACCCTAAAAGTTAGATATGTTGTGCCCCATTTCCAACTCAAAGTTCCAAATCTAGTCTTTGGTCAAGTGGAAAGTCCACCAGCACCAGTACCAGAGACTTTGTAATCGGTGACTTGTTCTTCCACTCCAGGACAATATGGCCCTTCATGAGAGCCAAACACGGAAAATTTGATTTTAAATTGTCTTCTGACCTACAGACAAGTTGAAAAAGGAAATGGGGCTGGGATGTAGCTCAGTGCTAAGATGCTTGCCTAGCATAGGTAAATCCCAGGGTTTGGAGGGGGTGGAAGGGGGGAGAGGAGAGAGAGAGAGAATTCGTTCACTCCAGAACCACTCTACTCTTAGTAATGTTACTACCCTTGTGATGTCATTTGCGTAAGGTCCTAGAGATGCTGGTGTCATGTTCCTGAACCTACAGAACTGTGAACTGAATAAACCTCTTTCCTTTATAACATACCCAACCTCAGGTTTGTTAAAACAACAGAACATGGATTAGTACACAGGACTTTATTTCTTTGCTTTGCTTTCATATCAATAAACATTTAACTCTTGCTAACAGGAAGGGCCTGGGGAAAGCATGGAAGAATTGGAGACCAGTTATCCAAGTCTGAGACTGTAGCACCTGTGTCTTCTCAAGCTTTGTTGAGAAGGGGTTTCTACCTAGGGAGAGAAGAACCAGAGATAGGAGCAGATGCAAAGCATGCCGGGGACATGGTGTTTGGTCCCAGGACTACTCTGAGTGTTCCTAAGAACACTGAGATGTGATGCCAGGGAGTTAGGGACTGAGGGTCTAGCATTCTTAGCAAATCACACTAGCGGATGATTTCATATCCCTTTACCTCACTTCAAGTGTAAAGAGGAAAATGTTTCATTGGCACAAACTGTTAAAAACAAAGTAAAACAACAATAACAGAACAGGGGTGGGGTGGGAGCAACTGAAAATCACTAACAGTTGAGCTTAGAGAGAATCCCTGCCACACAGCCCTTCCATTCCATTCCATGAAATGAATGGTGCATTTTCTGAGAAAGGGGCCATCTCTGGACGACCCTCAACTGAAAAAGCACTGCTCGAGGTGATTTCTAGGGGCACAGAGGGTTCTCAGTTCCCCCCCACCATACATGGCTGTGCAGGAAGGTGGGGGGCCGCTCACCCCACTCAATCCAAGGTCCACCACGGCTCAATGCACTGCATGCGACAGTAGTAGAAGCAACACTTCTTCGTCCCCGGGCAGCCTCTGTCCCGCCAGCAAGAGGGGAACAGGGTGAAGCGGCAGGAAAGGGGGAACTCCGGACAATACCCAGGCTTTGACTTGGCTGTTGAGAAACGCCACAGGGTGAGCCATGGTCACGGTCCCCTACCCCAGCTCCTCCAGGCCCCACGCCTCACCCTTCCTCAGGAAGCCCGGCTGGGCCATGTGGAGGCAGAGGACGGTCACAGTGAGTAGGAGGCCGCTCAGCTTCATCACGCTGGGACAGGCGGGTGAAGGTAGAGGCCGATGAGTTTCCAGCCGTTATGATGGCGGCCCACCAGCAGGGGGAGCTGTGGTGCCCGGGGCTGGAGGGCAGAAGAGCATCAGTGGGACAGGAAACCGGTGGCTTCCTTTTGACCCCAGGAAGACGCCCTGTGAAATAACCTCCAGGGATACCCTCATAAACCCCTCAAGAACCTTCCTCTTGCTTTATAGAGGGGTTTGAAATTCCGCGTCACATTAATGGAATACTTAATAGAATATAGGAGATTTTAAAAAATCATGATTGTTTTGAGGGAGTTGCCTTTCCCAGGCCATACACCAGATGGTCAACCCCATTCTTCTCACTACATACCAAGGAATATAGAAACCCCACCCTCCCAACAGTGTTCAGGTTTGGGTGCATTTGAGGTTTTTCTTTTACGGTATTAATATTTAAACACCATCCACGCCAAGGCAAAGACAAAGATAATGGCTGTTAGTAATATACTTTCTAGATATATGAAAAAGTGCCAATTTTTATGTAGCGTGGGGCTTAAATTTAATGTGAAACCAATGTTTTATTCCTTAATTCCATCCTTATATGTCTCCATGAGTGCAGAAACTTCATTTGTTGGTAAAGTGAAAAGTCTAACTTGAAGCCATTTTGGAATATGAACCTGAGGGCAAATAACTATTTGGATTGTTTCTGCACTCCAGTTAAAGTGTGTTGTTACTTGCTTAGTTGCTAGTAACATAAATACTTGCTTAGTATTTATGTAAGCAATGATTTTAAAAAAAAGTTTTATTACTACACCCAGAAGAATTGGAACCTGATGTGGGAGGCAAAAGCTCCCAGCACTACTCCATCTACTAACTCTTCTCTTACTTTGTAGTGCAACCTTGTGGCTACCTCCTGGCTTTGCATCTTTTTACTGTGTGTCTGTGCTTCTCTTTCTCTCTGTATCTCTCTCTCCTCCCACCCCCTGTCAGCAGGACTGGGGTTTGAATTCAGGGCTTCAAGCTTGCAAAGCAGGCACTCTACCACTTTAGCCACACTCCCAGTCTCTCTTTTAGCTCTGGTTTAGCCTGACCTCAGTAGTTGTAGTCCACACTTAGTAAAAAAAATATCCTTTCTACTTGGTTTAACCTGCCAATAATTTAAAATGTCCTACTTTTATTTTTAATATGTTTATCTGCAGCTCCACACACTGACTTTGACTTTTTGTTTTCAAAGCAGTTTGACATTCACTGCAATTTTACACTACTAAACTATTACATGAAAGGAAACTATATTCTAAACTATATTCTATTCTTGCTATAAATGCAAAAAATCCTAAACAAAAATTTACACTGTATATTTTGTTATATATTTAAATATAAATATATATATTCACACACATATATGTATATGTGTATATAGTGATATATCATGAATAAGCAGGATTTTTTTCCAACAATATATGGTTGATTTAAACTTCCAAACTAAGTTATGGAATACTTTTTAATAGAATATAGGGGGAAATCATGATTATCTCCATATCGGCTGAGGATATGGGGAAAATAACTCATCTATGTATGATAAGGTAGAATATAATGACATTGGATAAGAGATTTAATTAGTTAATTTGATAGCCTCTAAAAAATCCTAAAGCACAGGAACCAGTTTCAGAATAGGAGAATAAAAGCTGCTTCATCAATGCTGGGAGAATAGTAACAATTTTTTTTTGTATTGGGGGTTGAACTCAAGGTCTCCCGCTTGCTAGGCAGGTGCTTTATCACTTGAGCCATGCCTCCAGCCTGAAAATAGCAACAATTCTTGTCAAAACAACCATTTTAGAACTCTGAAAGTAAATCAAAGTCTCACAACAATCTGTAGTATTTATAGATGACAAACCAGTGAATCTCAGAAAGAGCAGGGAGATTTGTGGCAATTGACTTGCATTTTCTGCTGGGCTGTGTGGTAGCCTTGATGCTCGGGAGTGTCATGGCCCTGACTCTAGACCAGGTCTGTGCCTCTACACCCACTTTAGTACAGATGAGAACATGTACCCTCTGCCAGATCAACTTCAGCACCAGCTCACATCACTGCTTGGGTTTTGAAAGGCTTCAGCAGCCTTCAGTCCTAGCAGCTTTGGGCTTTTACTGCTCCCAACTGCTATGCCAGTCTTGATGGTCTAGCAGTCCAGTCTGGTGCTAAGCTGGGCTCGAAGGCTGAGGGATTCCAACCTGGGAGATTCTGGCCATGCAGCCTTGGACTTAGGGTGCCAACAGCACCACTGTGGTCACAGTGGTCCTAGGGACCACAGCTGCATTGAATTGCTGTACAAGCCTACTGTTGAAGGACCTCACTAGAGAAGGGCAGACTGCAAAGACTAGAATAAGTACCTACTTCTTTCATTCAAGGCATGGATACAGGGTAAGAATCAAAAACAGTCAGGGACACATGAAAGTGAAAATGAAAATGAAGTGCCGGAGACTAAATCTCAGTTGGTGGAAATGTATAAATTCCCTAAGACTCCAAAATAGCTAGCTGTTTTAAGGAAGCTTACTGAACTTCAAGAAAATGCAGAGAAAACAATTCAGAAGTTTATTAGAGAAACGTAAGAGATTGAAATAATAATTTAAAAATTCTAACAAATATCAGAGTCAAAAAATATTTGTACAAAATAAAAGAATATAGCAGAGAGTTTCAACAGAATTGATCAAGCAGGTAAAAGAATGAGTAAACTCAGAGACAGGTTATTTGGAAGTGAATATTTAGAGGAGAAAAAAGAATAAGGAAAGAAGAAAGCTTATAAAATTCATGGAAATGGCATGACAAAGACAAATGTACATGCTGTTGGCATTCAAGAGGAGTAGAGAAAAGGGATAGAAAGCTTTTTAAAGAAACAATACCAGAGAACTTTCCAAACCTGGAGAAAGACACAAATATCCAGACACAGAAATGTCAAACATCTTCAATCAGGTTCAATCAAAATGAGATTACTCATGCCCTTGTGTGATCAAAATTTTAAAGTTTAAATCCAAAAAGAGAATCTTGAAGCAGCAAGAGGAAAAAAAAATAGCATGTAAGAAAAATCCAATATGACTAATAGCAGACTTCCAAGAATAAATCCTATAGGCCAGGAGACAGTTAGATGACATATTCAAGTTGTTCAAGGAAAGAACCTACAAACTAAAAATACTTACTCTAAAAAACTGTCCTTGAAAAATGAAGGACAGATAAAGGCTTTCCCACAGAAACAAAAACTGAGGAACTTCATCATCACCAGACCCGTTTTACAAGAAATGCTCAAGAGAGTTCCTCAAGCTTAAAGAAAAGGAAGCTAATGAATAACTCAAGAACATCTGAGAGTACAAAACTCCCTGGTAAAAGTAAACTCAAGGTCAAATTCAGAATGCTCTAGTAATGTAGTTGTTATACATGAATACCACATGTGTTAAGTTTAAAAGGCAATACTGTTAAAATTAATAACTATAATACTTTGTCATGGTATATGCAATATATAAAGATATACATTGTGACATCAAAATTCAAAATCTACAGGTGCAATGAAATTAAATTGTAGTTTACGTTTTACAATCAAAATTAACAACTTAAATTGTTATCAACCTAAGGTAATTTTTTGTAAGTATAAGATTTTTCATGAGTGTCATGACAGCCACAAGTCAAAAATTATGATAGATACAGTAAAAAAGAAAAAGTAGACGATTCAACACGTGTTTTAGAAGAAATAACCGCAAAGACTTTAAGAAAGGAAGAAAACATGTGCAGAACACCTGGAAAGCAATTAACCAACTGACAGTAGTAAGTCCTTATCTATTAATAGTTACTTTGAATATAAATGGGTCAAATTTTCCAATTAAAAGACATAGCATGGTTAAGTGGATATAAAATCAAGACCTAACTATAGACTCATTTCATCTGTAAGAACATACCAAGAATAAAAGAGAAGAGGTGGAAGAAGATAATCTGTGTAAATGGAAACAAAAGAGAGTAAGAGTAGTGACAGGAGAAAAAAGTCAAAAACTGTAAGAAAAAAAACAGACAACAATGAAGGGTTGTCTCTTTTAAACTGTACACATGACCAAATGGATTTAACAGACATTTTTAGAACATTTTATCAACTATTGAATATGTATTCTTTTCAGCTGCATACAGGAATTCATAAGGATAGATTGTATTTTCAGTACAAAATATAAAATTGAGTTTAAATCCAAGTACTACTAAAAAATCTGCACAAGTTTAAGAAGATTGAAATGATACAAAGTATCTTTTCTGACCATAGTTAGATAAAACTAAGAATAAAGAACAGGCAGTTATATATACATAACCCCCCTCCAATTTCTACCAAACCCTATTAGAACTAATTAGCAAACTCAGCAATGTAGCAGGGTACAAAATCAGCATGCAAAAATCAGTAGCATTGTTATATGACAATAGTGAATTATCTGAAACAGAAATGAAGAAAAACAATTTCACTTATAATGGCCACAAAAATATCTAGGAATAAAAAAGAGTGAAAGATCACAACATGGAAATTATAAAACACTGATGAAAGAAGTTGAAGGAGACACAAAAAAATGGAAAGATAACTGGGTTCATGAATTGGAAGAATCAATATTATTAAAATGTCCATACTATATGAAGCAATCTATGGATTCAATGAAATCCCTATCAAAATACCTATAACATTCCTCACAGAACCAGAAAAACAATCCTAATTTTTTTATAGAAGCACAAATAACTATCTTGAGTAAAAAGAACAGATCAGGAGGCATTATACTATTTGACTTAAAAAATACTGCAAAGCTATTATAATCAGAACAGCATTGGATTGGCATAAGAACAGACACACCTCTTGCAATGAAGCCTTTGATTCATTTTGAGTTGATTTCTTACATGGTGAGAGGTAAGAGTCAAAGTGCAATCTTCTAAGGGCTGGAAGCATTGTTCACTCAAATGGTTGAGCACCTGCTTAGCAAGCTTGAAGCCCTGAGTTCAAACCACA